GCATAGGGGATCTCCCCGGCCCGGGGCCCGACCCCGTGTCCCCTGCATCGGCAGGCGGACTCTCAACCACTGCGCCGCCAGGGAAGCCCTACAGTTTTTCTTTAAGCAAGAAATAGAGAACACAAAGGAGTCTGTTACCAAGAGAGCCCATCCAGGGATTGCTCCCTTTCACTCCTGAACCCTCTGCCAAAATTAGTCCCCCCAGCCAATCACCCGCTGAGCGCCGGCGCCACGGTCATAAGGCTCCTCACACATCAGCGGGTAGGGAATATTTTTGACGGTGACACAGATACAGGCGTCAGGACTCGAACTCCTGTCCTCGATGAACCCAACGAGAGGGGACAGATGCGCAGGGAGCCGCGCGTGGCCCTCTGGGAGATGTAGTTCAGCGCCCTCCGCGCAGGCGCAGTCCCGGCCCTTGGCGGTACAGCCTTCCTCCTCCGTTCCAAGGAGCGCAGCAAAAGGGCTCCGAACCGCTCAGACCACGGAGATGAACGGAATTGCACGTGCCGCCCTCTGGGAGATGTGGTTCGGCGCCCGCCCACCCAGGCGCAGTAGCGGCCCGTGGCTGGCGTGGCCTTCGTCCTCCATTCCCAGAAGGAGCTCGGCGTGGGAGGGTCCCAGGGTGGGAGAAAAGGCAGAGCTCAGTATTTGAACCCCTCAGCCTAGGCCCTGGGCGGGGGCGGGGCGCACCGGAAGACGACCGGAAGCGCACGTGCTGCCTTCTGGGAGATGTAGTTAGGCGTCCCTGCGCAGGCGCAGGTTGGTTAGTGGCTGCCGTGGCCTTTGTCCTACAGTCCGGCGGGTAAGTGAGATTGGGGGTGGCCGGGGCTGAGGAAGCCGAGCCGGGAGCGGGTCCAAGGTCTTCTATGGGGCCCCGGCCCGGGTGTGTACCTAACGGCGCGCGTCTGTGTCTCGTCTCTTCTGCTGCTTTGGGCCCAGGGCGGGTGGCTGGGGGTAGTATGGGCGGGGCCGAGTGGGTGGGGCCCGGTTTGGGTAGGGGGTTGGGGGGTGGTCTCAGGGTCCGAGAGGAGGGCTTGGGGCAGGGGCTTGGGTACTGGCTTTGATGGAAGGCATTGGGGTCTCTGGCTTCGTGAGCATAGTAAGAGATTGGCTGGCCGGGCCCTTCAGAGCCTGGAGCCAGCCTGACCTGCATCCCTTCCCTGTTTTGGCGGGATGTCCAGGGTTTGGAGAGTGGGTAAGGCCGAGGCCTTACCACAATGTCATCTCTGGAGCTTCACCTTCCTGAGGGACTTCTGTCTAAAGAATGAAGGTGAGGGAGAGCCAAAGCACCAGATTTTGACCCTAGCCACCTGGGACCCAGGAAACAGATTCATTGTATTAAAATCTTATTGAGAACCGACTGCATGCCAGGCACCATTCAGGCTCCATCATTAATTCAACAAGCAGGTATTTATATATCCTGGGTGCCAGGCCCATCTTGTATCCTAGAGCCCCCCAACATTGTCTCCACACTGGATGCCACAGGAGAGTCAGGGAGATGATGATAAGCCCATAAAACATCACTAAACAAGATAACTCCCATCCAGGAAACTGCAATGAAGACAACGGAGCACAAGCTGGATGGGGCAGAATCAGGGGTGCATAGGCAGGGTCGTCAAGGAACATTACAGAGAGAAGGGAAACACGTCCTGCCTTTGGCCTGACTTTCATTTTAGGCAATCAGCCAGGGAACGGCTTGTAAATCACTGGGAATTGGGCCGTGCGCGTAGTAGATGCTAAACAGATGCTGACTGAAGCAAGAGACTTCTCTCCCAGCAACAATCGCCTTCCTGTGTGTTCTGCTGCCTGCTGGGCTCCATTTCCAGCCGTTTTCACATTTTAATTCCCATAAGCTCTGTCCTGGGTCACCACCCTCATTTTGTGAGAGAGAAGCTGACGCACACCATACAGTGCCCAAGACCCCCGTACTGTCTGGCTTTCTGTCACAGTAAGTCATCACCCTGGAAATCATCTGTGCAACCCAGACTGTGCTCCTTGCCCACCTGGCGGTCAGTTTTCCTGTCTGGAATGGGTAAGGAAAATTTGAGCTCATACTTCAACAGTGCCTGGACTAGCACCTGGGTGCACAGCAGGAGCTCGGGAAATGCCAAGCTGAGGTTGCACTGCTGTTGAGTTTGGCCTGGGTGCTGAGCTCCTTCCACCTGCACACAGGGCTTCCAGGGTCTGGGGTTACTGGTCACCTGTCACTTGTCCAGTCTCTCACATCCCCGTTCCCCCTAGAACTGCCTGCCGAGGAGCTGGCTGTTCCTGCAAGAGGCCCAAGGAGGAGGGAATGACCGCTGGGCTCCTCACTGCCAGGGACCCGGTGAGTACACCACCACCTCACTCTCGGGCCTCCCAGCCTCTACCTGTGGGCCCCACCAGGCTCGTTCTGCCCTCAGGGCCTCTGCCCTCACCAGGAATGTGCTTTAATCAGCTCCATGTCCTCCTCCACTTCTCACCACCTCCGAGAAGACTTCCTGGATTCCCCCCCGCCCCATGCCACCCTGGCAGACATGGTTCATCCATCCCACTGATGTGTCTGGCACTTTCTCAACACAGGGCTCTAGGTCTGTTCTCCCAGCTCACTCTCTTCATCCAGTCACTTGGCCAACCTGTACTGAGCACTGCCAATGAGCAGGCACCATTCCAGGCACCGTTCCAGGTACTCCAGGTAGAGGAACAGACAAGATGAGCAGAAATCTCCATCCCCGGGGGCTCACAGACCATATGAGGAATGTAAACGTGCCAAGTGTTGGGCAGGGAAATGAGGCCCAGAAGAGGGTGGACTTGGGGACCAGGCATTAACCAGTACAGCCCAGGAGGCCTCTCTGAGGAAGTGGCCCCCAAACAGACCTGCAGGAAAGGACAGGGTGAGGCCAGGACCCACAGGGAGAATGTTCCAGGTGGAGGGAACAGCACGAGCAAAGGCCTGGAGGTGGGACCACGCCAGGCACCTAACATGAAGACCAGGCACACGTGTGGCAGGAAGACCGAAAACCAGGTCTCCTAGGCCGGCTTCAGGGGCCTGGGGCCTTGGGAAGCAGTTCTGGCCATTTTGGCCACGTGCAAAGGCCCGGCACACAGTAGGTGCACAGTGAATGGGTGAACAATGAATGTTTGGAACTCTGGTCAGTGCTGGACACATGTCACTCTGTTCAGCCCCCACATCAGTCCCACGAGGTGGGGTGAGGAGGAGATCAAGGCACAGGGGCAAGTCACGCAACTGGGAGTGGCTGAGGCAGGCGTGAGCTCAGGACCCCTGGCCTGGCGCAGACCACCTGTCCCCTGAGGTCCCCAGTGCCCAGCACACATCCTGCTGCCTTCATGGCTCCTTCTCCAGATCCCTGTGTGGCTGCCCAGCAGCATCCCCCCATTTTCTCCAGAGCACTGGCCTCTCCTGGGGTTTTCATTTTTGCCAGCTCCCCGACCCTGCAACTAGCATACAAGCACCAGGAGGCAGGCTGTGTTTGTCCTGTGTCCACGGCCTGAACAGTGACCTGCACTCAGTAGGACTCCGCAGATAACCACTGAGCGAGACCTAATGAGTCTGGAAGGTGTGGAGCAAGCAGGGAGGGTTGGTGAGAGAAAATAAAACCTCCCCGGGCCCCCCAGCACAGCTGTTTGAATGCTGGGTCCTCAGGTAAACCACCCACTATGCACCGGGCCAAGGGTACACACTTCTTGTGAATTCCCTCACTCCTCCCAACAGCTCTCAGGGAGCTCCCAGTAACTTGCAGATGAGGGCAGGGAGGCACAGCGCAGTTAAAAGACAGCTGGTGCTGGAGTTTGAATCTCCGTCACGTGGATCCAGGGCCGGGTCTTCACAGCGTAACCTCCCAGATGCCCAGTTCTGGTGGGAGAAATTCTAGCAGAGGCGGATTCTGCCTGGAAGACCAGGGTCCAGGATGTGGGCCACCTTGTGTCCCTCACTCCCGCCCACATGGTCAAAGTCTATAGACCTTGCATCTCCCCCACTAGCCATCCATAGCGCTTGCTTCTGTGAGATGAAAATCCCTTTGTGGAGGATGTCTGTGTCCAAACCTCATGGGCCTTAAGGAAAATCATAAATTCCCCACTTGATCACAGAAGAAACTGGCCTTGTTCCCTATATCTATGAGTCTGTTTTTGTTTTATTATATTCATTCACTTTTTTTTTTTTTTTGGTTCATTCATTTATTTTTTTAGATTCCACATATAAGAGATAATACTCAGTATTTGTCTTTCTCTCTCTCACTTATTTCACTAAACATAGTATCCTGCAGGTACATCCATGCCATTGCAAATGGCAAAATTTCATTTTTTATGGCTGAGTAGTATTCCATTATATGTGTATGTGTGTGTACATATATATATATATATATATATATATATATATAAAATTGAACACTTTGTACAGTAGAAATTAATACAACATTGTAAGTCAACTATACGTCAATAAAATTATATATATATATGTAATATTCCATTATATATATATATATATATATATATATATATATATATATGGCACATCTTCTTTATCCATTCATCTGTTGATGGACATTTAGCTGCTATGAACACTGGGATGCATGTATCTTTTGGAATTACTGTTTTTGTTTTCTTCAGATATATACCCAGGAGTGGGATTGCTGGATCGTATGGCAGTTCTATTAACCCATTATCTAAATGTCCAAAGTTGAAGACTAGGAAACAGTCCTCAGGGGTCCTGCCACTGGAGACCCCCACCCATTTCATTTTCCTGGCCACTCTCCATTGGCTCTTTGTCTCCCCATCCCCTCTTCTGTGTATTCAGGCGTCATTTAGGCACAGCATAGATTTATCTGAGTGTGCAGCCTGGCAACTGCATGTATGGACACCAGTGGATGGTACAGCTGAGGCACAGGAAGTTCCTAGCCTCCCTGGGGCTCCCTCGTGCCCCTCCCTCAGTCGCTGCTGCTGTGACATCTCAGGGGTCCGTGTTTGTCCAAGGAGGAACCGATAGGAGGATGCGAGTTCCTTGCCGGTCCAGAGCTTCCATTCTGACCCCTGGGGTGTGTTTTTCTCTCATTTGTCTTTCAGGGAGGTGGTTCAGCCACATGGCCAGTAGGCGGACGCGCTGGACCCAGACTACCCAAGTTCAAATCCTGGCTCAGCCCTTTCTCCCTGGGTGATTTTGGGTGACTTCGTTGGCATCCTCCCTGGGTGAACAGTGGTTGGATGTGATCACCCGTGGCCTGGGGTTATTAAGTGAGCAATCCACGTGCATCTTTCAGCACCATCTATGTGTTTGCTCTGAATTTTGTTTTTAAGGTTCACAAGTTTAAAGTTCTTAATGTATCAAAACCATGATATCTTTCACAGTGATTTCTAGGTTGATGAATTGGCTTATTTTTTAAATAAATAATATCCCGTAATTATATTCTCATTATAAAAATGTCAAGCAGCACTTATAAAGTCCCCCTTGCTCCTCAGCCCCATCTCCCAGGCTTCCATCTAAAGCTGCCACTGCTGTCACTTCCACGTGCCTCATTTTCCTGTGTTTATGTACACATTTTCAGACAAATATTAGAATTAGAGCTTTGTTTCCTTTTACATAAATAGCACTGGGCTGGCAACGTCCCACCATCCAGGATTTTTCCATCTGGAAGGTTGTTTCCCAGCTGTGCGTATCAGTGCCCCCCGTCTTATGCTTGGCTGCAGATTTTCCAGAACCTGACTTTGGCTGCTCTGCCACGATGGACATCGAGGCCATTACCAGTTGTCTGTTATGACATTGCAGCAGGGGAGCAAGGTTCTTGGGGGAAGGAGGAGATGGAGGGGAAGTGGAATTGCTGGCGTAACAAGTGTATGTATTTTTAAAAACCTGCCAATTGTGAAAGTAATCCATGCCTGGGTACTAAGCCATCCTCTTCTCAGAAGGACCAGACTCTCTGTCCTCTTGTTTGCCTTTTACTTACTGATTTGTCAGCTCTTTGCATGTGCTGGCCACTAATCCTTTTCCTTCCATTTATGTTGCAAATATTCATTCTGCTGTCATGGGTCCTTGAAGTGGCTTGTAAAGACTTTGTCATCTAGAAGTCATGAATTTTGATTGCTGAATGTATTATTTTCCTGTCAATTCTGTAACAAATCCTAACAAACTTAGTGGCTTAAAACCACACAATTTATTATTTTATGGTTCTGGAGGTCAGAAGTCTGTAGTACACCTCACTGGGCTAAAATCAAGGTGTCAGCAGGGCTGTGTTCCTTCTGGCAGCTCTAAGAGAGAATCCACTTCCTTGCCTTTTCCAGCTTCTAGAGGCCTCCCACATTCCTTGGCTCCTAACCCGCTTCTATCTTCAAAGCCAGCTCTGGCCATTTGAGTCTTCCTCACGTACTATTACTGTGAGGCTGACTTTTCTGCCTCTTCCCCATTGAAAGACCCTTGTGATTATATTGGGCTCACCAGGATATTCCAGGATAATCTCCTTATTTTAAGATCAGCGGACTAGTAACCTTAAAGCCATCTACCATGTTTTTTTTTTTTTTTTTTTGGCCACACCATGGCATGTGGGATCTTAGTTCCCCAACCAGGGATCAAACCCATACCCCCTGCAGTGGAAGCACAGAGTCTTAACCACTGGACCGCTAGGGAAGTCTCATCCATCTGCCATCTTAATTCTTCCTTGCCATGTAATCCAGGGATGGTAGTGACACAATTCTGCCTACCACACTCATTTTTCTTCTTTCTGACTTTTAGTGTTTTATATTTTATTTGTGAAGACTTTCTCTACCACCCATTTATTAAATTCATGGCCTATACTTTTCCAACTTTTTCCTTTTTTATATTCATCTCTTTTTTTTTTTCTTTTTGCATTACACGGTCCTCTCACTGTTGTGGCCTCTCCCGTTGTGGAGCACAGGCTCCAGACGCGCAGGCTCAGCGTCCATGACTCACGGGCCCAGCCGCTCCGTGGCATGTGGGATCATCCCAGACCGGGGCACGAACCCATGTCCCCTGCATCGGCAGGCGGACTCTCAACCACTGCGCCACCAGGGAAGCCCTATATTCATCTCTTTAATATTTCTGGAATTTATTTTTATTTATGGTGAGGTAGGGATCTACTGTTTGTTCCCCCTAACAGAGGCCCAGTTGCCCTGGAGTGTCCATTGCTTTGAAATGCTCCCACTACCACACTGATTTTCTACATATACATGGATCTTCATGTACTTGAATTTAATTTACACGTGAACAGATTCTTAATAAAGTCACCCAGATTCAATCCATGGATTTGCTGCTTACTAGCTTTATAACTTTGGGCAAGACACTTAAGCTTTCCCAGTCTATGTAAAATGTGCTCGTGGCAGCATGGACCCTCTCATGTCTTAAAGAGGGCTTTGTTTCATTCATTATGTATGCATCTTGGACCCATCAGGATGTTATTTTGGCCAAAGGGTGAGGCAGGGAGCCAACATGACAGTTTCCAGATGCTCCTTCCCCGCTGCCCAGACCCAGCTGCTTCTCGGAGGGACTACCCACGCAAGCACAATTCCTGTGAACCCAACATGCCAGGACCATCCTCCCCTTCATTGATGACGCATCAGCAGCACTTCTCATTTCAAGAGACTCTTCTCCAGCAGGGTCCCAGGCCCCACAGTAAAAACCTTATCCAAATCCCCAGAGCCTCCCACCCACTTGGCCAAGGCCCCGTTCACCAGATGCTGCCACTAGCAGCCACACTGGGGACACTGAGGACGCTCATGTGTGACATTTCAGGAGCAAGTGACTTTTGAGGACGTGGTCGTGGAGTTCACCTGGGAGGAGTGGGGGCAGCTGGAGCCATCCCAGAGGACCCTGTACCGAGATGTGATGCTGGAGACCTTTGGGCTCCTTGCCTCTGTGGGTGAGGCCACCCCCGTGCCCCGGATGGTCTGCCTACAGTACAGATTCTAATTTTCCTGGGATAAAAGTGGGAGTAGATCTAGGCCATAAAAGCAAATACCTGGCCTTCAGGGACCTGTTTCAGTGCAGGGAATGTCAATTAGGATGTTTTGGTTGCAAATGACAGACCCTAGCTAACAATGCCAGAAGCAGAAAGTCATGGGGTAAGAGGGACATACCGGGTCCCGTGACCACAGAACCCTGGGTAGACCTGGATCTTCCTATGGTGCTGTCGGGACCCCTCTGCTGCCTGCCCCCATACCCCTTTCTGCCTCCATTCGCAGATGGGGCCCTCTGAAGGTGACAAGACAGCTGAGAGGGTGCCTCTCCCAGGTTTGAGACCAGCAGAAGAGGCAGGCTCTGTGTCCCGGCACCTATAGAAGGCCCCTGGGTTGTCTTGGTTTGGCAGCCAGGTCCCCTCCAGGCTGGTCATTGTTGCCAGCAGGCACGGGACAAAGTAGAGCTCTGATTGGCCACACTGGGGCCAAGGATGGGGTCAGGGACTGAGTGAGGGGAGGAGGTCCCTAAGGAATGTCAGAGGCTGTTACCACACCATGGCCTCCTGGAACCCCAGCCACTTGGGTCCAGGAAGACTGAGGGTGGAGTGGGCAGAGGGCTGGGGAGGGTCCTGGGACACAGATGCTCACTCCATGGGTTTCTCCCTGAGCAGGACACTGGCTCCCAAAGCCGGACGTCATCTCCCTGCTGGAGCACGAGGCGGAGCTGTGGGTGGTGGACAAGGGAGCCCCCCGAGGTGTGTGCACAGGTGAGATGAAAGCCCTGCAGGTCTGGGAGGAACCCATTCACCCCCCAGGTTCTCTCTCCATTTCTGCCCTGATTCTTCAGAGCAAATTAACTACTCAGTCTTTCAGGGAACATTAACCAAGCATCCATTTTGCTGTGAGACCAAGTTCCCATCTTCACTGAATTTACATTTTTGGTGAGGGAGAGGAGCACACGATAAATAGCTAAAATAATAATAATAACAGTGAACAAGATGATTACAGATTATGATGAATGCTGAGAAATGGAAGCAGGGGATGAGGTAGAGACTAGGATTGGGGCGAGAACTGAGCAGAGAGTTGAGGGCTATCCTCTCCAAGGAGGTGGTGTGTGAGCTGAAGCCTAAACCATGAGAACAATGTGACCATGAAACAATCTGGGAGGACAGAACTCCAGACAGAGGAAACAGCAAGCACAAAGCCACCAAGGCAGTGCAACAGCCAGCTCTTGCCATGTAACAAACACTCCAGCCTCAGTGGTTTAAACCAAAGAATCACTTATGACTCATGCATCTGTGGGCTGTTGGATCCAGGCTGGGCTCTTCCATGTGCCTGTAGGTTGGCTGGGTAGTTCTGCTCTTCATACCTCTTGTCCAGCTCCTGAGACCAGCAGGCAAGTCTGTTGGGAGTGGGAGTGTCCCGGCCCTCTGGCGACAGGCCCTGACCCTATGTAAGCAGTGGCCCATCACCAGGGCCTAAGAAGGGATGGACCAGTGTGTGTGTGTTGGGGTTATAACAGGGTCTCCCTAGCCTCGAATAATAACCAGTCCTTACTTAGTATATCAGCTTCGGATTGGTGCTGTGACAAATTATCACAAACTTAGTGGCTTAAAGCAACACAAATTACCTTACAGTTCTAGAGGTCAGAAGTCCAAAATGGGTCTCCCTGGGCTACAGTACAGTGTCAGCAGGGCAGTGTTTCTTCTGGAGGGTTTGGGGAAAATCTGTTTCCTTTCATTGTCCAGCTTCTAGAGACTGCCCACATTCCTTGACACAAGGCCTTATCCATCTTCAAACTCAGCAATGGCTGGTCAAGCCTTCTCACATCATGTCCCTCCTGCCTCTCTCTTTCACACTGAAGAACTCTTCTGATTACATTGGGCCCACCCTGATAAGCCAATGAGGGTAATCACAGATGATTGCTAATGTCAAATGATGAGCAGCCTAATTCCTCCTTGACATGTAAGTTAAGCAAATATTCAAAGGTTCCAGAGATTAGGATGTGTATATATTTGGGAGCCACTGTTCTGCCAACCACATCTGGCTTGACCTTTTTTATTTTTAGCTTTTCACTAGAGTGTAACATAAATGGGAACGGTGCCCATGTCACACCTTTAGGCCGGTTCGGTGTCAGGGTGGGGACACCGAAGCCATAGCTGTGCAGAGAGGGCCAAAATGAAGGAGGAGGAGGAGCAAACGTATCTGTTTGTTCGTTCAGCGTGCCCATTGAGCTCTGCTCTGGGCTGGCAGTACTCCAGGTCTGGGGCGTCTGTCAGCAGTTTTCCTGGATGCTATCTCTCTCCTCAGCACCGTCTCCCACCCTCATTCTCTGTGCTCCCCATGAAAACCCCATCCACACCCCTACACCAAGTCCCCCACCCCTGGTTATTCTCTGTGCTTCTCCTCCCTCTCCCGTTCCTTCTCTCATTTGCAAAACTCTGTTTTTTTTAATGGACAAAGCCACCTGTGCCTTGGACCTTACAAAACCATCAGTTTTATTCTTCCATCCACCCACCCAGCCACCACAAACTCTTCCCCCAGAACTGGGATTAAGGGACATTTCCATTTTTCTGTTTCTTTTAGACTTTGAAACTAGACAAACCAAACTATCAACTGTGAAGCAAGACATAACTGAAGAAATACCCAATAATGCCCTGGTAGAAAGGTTCCTGTGGGAAAGTCTGTGGAACTCCAAGGGTGAACATGCTGAGGGCCACTGGGAACAGGGTCGTAAGAGGCCAGATAGCCATGTGGTGCAGGCTGCCTTCATGCCTGTGAAGACACCCACTCAGGAGCAGCAACAGGGGAATGGGTTTGGGGAAAACTTGAGTCTGAGGCCTGATCTCCCAACTCAACCAATGACTCCTAAAAGGCAAGGCCCCCCCGTGTGGGGAACACATGGAAAGAGGGAGAATCCGGACTCAGATGCTCAACAGAAAACCTGTGCAAAAGAAAAACCCTACAGATGTCAGGAATGTGGAAAGGCCTTTAGTCACAGCTCAGCACTCATCGAACACCACCGAACACACACGGGAGAGAGACCTTACGAATGTCACGAATGTGGAAAAGGCTTCCGAAACAGCTCAGCGCTTACCAAACACCAGAGAATCCACACTGGTGAGAAGCCTTATAAGTGCACTCAGTGCGGGAGGACCTTCAACCAAATTGCCCCACTGATCCAGCACCAGAGAACTCATACAGGTGAGAAGCCCTACGAGTGCAGTGAATGTGGGAAATCCTTTAGTTTTAGGTCCTCCTTCAGCCAACACGAACGGACGCACACAGGTGAGAAGCCCTACACGTGCAGTCAGTGCGGGAAGGCCTTCCGGCAGAGCATCCACCTCACCCAGCACCTGCGAATCCACACCGGGGAGAAGCCCTACCAGTGTGGAGAATGCGGCAAGGCCTTCAGCCACAGCTCGTCCCTGACCAAACACCAGCGGATCCACACGGGGGAGAAGCCCTATGAGTGCCAGGCATGTGGAAAAGCCTTCACCCAGATCACACCACTGATTCAGCATCAGAGGACACACACAGGCGAGCGGCCCTACGAGTGCAGCGAGTGCGGGAAGGCCTTCAGCCAGAGCACGCTCCTGACCGAGCATCGGAGGATCCACACAGGAGAGAAGCCCTACGGGTGCAACGAGTGTGGGAAAACCTTCAGTCACAGCTCGTCACTTAGCCAGCACGAGCGGACACACACGGGTGAGAAGCCCTACTCATGCAGTCAGTGCGGGAAGGCCTTCCGGCAGAGCACACACCTCACTCAGCACCAGAGAATCCACACCGGGGAGAAGCCCTATGAGTGTAGCGAGTGTGGGAAGGCCTTTAGCCACAGCTCGTCCCTGACCAAACACCAGCGGATTCACACCGGGGAGAAGCCCTACGAGTGTAACGAGTGTGGCAGAGCCTTCAGCCAGCTTGCTCCACTCATTCAACACCAGAGGATCCACACGGGAGAGAAGCCCTACGAGTGTAACGAGTGTGGCAGGGCCTTCAGCCAGAGCTCCCTCCTCATAGAACACCAGAGGATTCACACCAAGGAGAAACCCTATGGGTGCAACGAATGTGGAAAATCCTTCAGCCACAGCTCATCGCTCAGCCAGCACGAGAGGACACACACTGGGGAAAAGCCCTACGAGTGCCAGGATTGTGGAAAATCCTTCAGGCAGAGCACCCACCTCACTCAGCACCGGAGGATCCACACAGGAGAGAAGCCGTATGAGTGCAGGGACTGTGGGAAAGCCTTCACACACAGCTCCTCCCTTACCAAGCACCAGAGAACTCATGCTGGATAGACCCACTCCACATGTTCTGGGACCCAGCAAAGCCTTAAGCTGTAGCACATTGCTTACTAGATTTGACCCAGTCATACTCCTGAGAAACAACACAAACATTATACACAAGCCTTCATGCTCAGCAAACTCCTTACACCCCCACAGAGAGTTCATATTTATGGAAATGATTGTGGGAATACCTAGCTCTGGGTCATCCATCCCAGGATATCAGATCATCCAGACAGTAGGGAAGTGTGGAGTCAATCACTGTTGAGGACTTTCAGCCATGAGTGGCCACTAATGCTTCACTATAGAACCTACAAAAGAGAAATGGAAAAAAAAATGTGGATCTGGGGTGGCTTCTAAGGATTCACCATATTCCAAACCAGAGATTTTCAAAGTGTGACAAACTCAGCAAATGCCTTTCATATAAAAGAACCAAACACAGTCAGAATTTATCATTATTGTACATTACATTCTTGGCAGGGGTTGCTTATGAATGGTGCAACTTGACTCTGATATTCCCTAAAAACAATATGGCAGAGTGTTCCAGACATGAGAGTGGCACTTTATGGAATCACCATGAATATTCAGCTGTCTCAGTACAAAATTTTCTGATTTGTGTGTAAATTCTTTGGTCAAGGTACATGGCCATCAGCCTCACAGATGTGAATGCCATATGACAAAGTATCCATGTACTATAAACAGATTTTAAAGTAGTTATATGCATTATATTGCAATAAGTTAATCTTTATATGCAATGGAATTGAAAAGATTTGTATAGGAAGACTTGAAAGGTAAAGCCACTTTCATGGAGTCTTGCAGATTCTGAGATGGCTTTTGCTGCTCTGTTCTTGCTATAAATTTTTCTACAGGACTCACAGGCATTAGAAATGCAGATGTTGCTGTTTCACAAAAAGAGGAAGATTTTTTCTTTGTTAAGCCACCATCTTATGAGCAAGAGCACACCCACGTTGGAACCTTATGTTTTGTAAGATTTATCTCTTGAGAAATGTACAAGTTAATCTTCTTTTGAACTGTTTTTTTTCATTGCTTCTTTATCCTGGTGTTTAATAAGCTTTTGTTTTTATAAAATTTAACTTGAAGGCAGTCTATAGTATTTCACTGAACCCTGAATCTACTAACAGCAGTCACCCTGACAACCGTGATCCTTAAACAGTGACTTGTCACCCTCACTAGAACCCATATGTAAATTGCATTGGCTGATTTTGGTCACTAACCATCAGTTAGGGTTATAACAATCAGTTTGACTTTTCTAATCACAGTGCTAGGATATAAGCTTCCAGTTAACTTGAAATTTCTCCCTTGGGGAAACCATGTTGCAAATAGTCTTCCAATACTGTTCCTCAGTATGCTTGTGGAATGCCCCCTCTTTTTTGGACTTAATTTCAGTCATTTAAAAAGCACGTAAGAAAATCATGGCTTGCCGCGCCACTCCCCACTCGCAGCCCCGTGCCTTGCTCCTCTCCGAACATGGCAAAAATATCCAGCTCTACAGAGACTGAAAGGTGTATTGAGTTTCTGATTGCTGTTTTCCAAAAGCATGCTGGAAGGGACAGTAACAACAGCAAATTCTCCAAGGCCGAGTTCCTTATCTTCATGAATACAGAGCTGGGTGCCTTCACAAAGAACCAGAAGGACCCTAGTGTCCTTGACCGCATGATGAAGAAACTGGACCTCGACTCTGATGGGCAGCTAGATTTCCAAGAATTTCTTAATCGTGTTGGCGGCCTGGCCGTAACTTGCCATGACTCCTTTATTAAGTCTACCTCTTCCCAGAAGTAAATCAGAGGCGGCTTTGGGCCTGGGCTGCAGCCCCACTCCCTTTCCTTCAGCCTCCCAATTATCATCTACCCCTCACAGCCCACACATACCCTGAGCCAGGCACACCCACCACCCCATGCAGGCCACTTCTGCTGGTAGTAATAAAACAATATTGTTTTTTGAAGCACTGGAGAGTCAGTAAATGTGTGCAAGGGAGGGAGATGACTGGGAGGAATATAAATTAGATTGATGGAAAGAGTAACCAGAAGTTGAAAAGTAAATAGTAAAAATGCATCTTGGGCGTATACATAATCATGACTAATGATACCAACATAATCATCCCTAAATTATTCAAATGGAGAGACGTCACTTATTGTTCACTCATTAAATGTCTATACACCCCTACTACAGGCACTGTCATACACTCTGAGGATACAGCAAGACAGACAAGGTCCTGCCTTCACTGAGGTTACCTTCTAGTGTGTGTGGGGGGAAAAATAAGTGAATAAAGAACTATGAGAGTGAAAAAAAAACACTTAATAAAATCAGTAAATAGTGCATAGCAGCACTCTCCAATAGACACAACTTGTAAGCCCCATCGGTAACTTTTAAATATATTGTAATAGTCCCATTTAAAAAGAAGAAACAGGTGAAATTAATTTACTATTTGTCCCTATAGATCCCAAATGTTACCACTTTGACATGTTGTTTATATAAAAAAATCACAATTGAGATATTTTGCTTTCTTTTTATACTATGTCTTTGAAATCCAGTGTGTGTTTTACATTTACAGTACATTTTAATTTGCTGTAACCACATTTCAAGTGCTCATTTACCACATGTAGCCAGCGAGTGGCTGTACAGGACAGGGCAGCTCAATAGCCTTGGTCCTTTGGTCAGGTGTTCTGTCCTCCCTCCCTTTATTACATGTATCCTCTTCCCTTTCCCTGTGCTTCTATCCTTGTGTAGCTTCTTGTCCTCAAGGAAATTAGATGTGCTGGGAAGAACAGCATCAAAGTCAGAATAGAGAGGAGACAAGGTGAAGATTGGCCAGAGATAATAACACCTGCATTATTGTGTGGTGGATTGGGAGGTGGGAGGGGTCTCACATTAGGAGCCTCTGCACTTGTGGTTTGTTGGCTTTTTCAGAGAGGCTTGCCCTGATGCCTTGGTGAACACCTGTTTTATGACTTAATGCTGTCCTTAGGTTTTTTGGTGCTCATGTTGTCCCAGATGTGGCCAATAATAGTCCCTTCAGGAAAGTTCCTGCCATCCCTGTGACATGCCTTCATCATTTTCAGTATAAGATGTTATAAACTCATCTTGTTTCTACCCTGAAATCATCCCCCAAATCAGCCATATTTCTGCAGGTCCAAAGAACTGGTTCATTTTAGTAGGGGATGCTATTCAGGACAAAATATGAGTGCCAGGTGTGCTCATTGCTACTAGGTTGTCTACTGCTGAGCTAGGAAATAAAGGCGCCTGTATAAACACTTATATAGATACACACAAAAAGGTATATGGGTGCATATACATACACAGAAATACCTCCCATTCCAATCTGTGACTCCCCGTATTTTTATGTCCCTCTTCAATAGCGAGAATGCTGAGACCCCTAAAATAAACATACTAATTTTCTGAATTCTAAAATACGTGTAAAATAGTTTCAGAGTTGCTTTTCTCAAACCACTACAAAAACAAACCTACTAAAAGAAATTTAGAATTTGTTTGCTGTTCTTCCATCACCACCCTGCCCAACACATGGTAAAGCACACAAATGGATGATTTATTCTACAGAGAGACAAAAATATCGTCAGATGTCCCCACTTGTTAACCTCAGGGGAAGCTGGGTTGGGTCAGGCATTAGGGAAAATGGGTCTGTGCTGAGGGTCTTAACTCCCATCCAAAGGTGCAGGGACATGAACCATTGAGAAGAAACTTGGTAAGAACCTGGGGAGGATTAGATTTATCTGTCCCAGAGTCTCCCTCTCAGAGCAGTCTCCACTACAGGAAACCAGAACCTCCTACTGCAGAAGCCACGCTCCTTTCCCTA